AGATTGTTGTATCCTGCGTGTTTCAGGCAGGGTTAACATATTAAAACAGTTTTTACCCGATTAGAGACAAGCTGTACGGATACCGTCAAAAGTAAGGGTACCGTTAGACTCTCCCTTCCATTCTCTATCGAAATGATGTATGATATGTGACGGATGACAACGTTTTTTGTCTGAAATAGCGTGTCTTTTGACGTAGTTTTTTGCGATTTCCCGACAAACGGCGCAGCAGTTGTCAAAACGATTTGCGTTGTTATACTCCACGTTTAATTCTCTATCCGATTGACGTATCATCTGTGACGGGTGCCGCATAGTTTGTCTCTAATTGACGTTTTTCTGTTGCCACCCCTCACTTTTTTGCCGTAGTTTTTTCAAGATTAGAGACAAACTATGGTGTTCTATCCAATTCTTTATGCGGCATTGTTCTTGCCGTTAAATTTTCTATCGAAATCATGTATAATACATGGCATTTGAAAAATTGACTTTTTTCCTGATGGTACATCAGGTAAAAGTGGTCAAAAATTAATCTTTGAGATTGCCTTATGGTATACATCATTTTGATAGAGAATTTAACTGCGAGTTTAACGGCGCAAACCGTTTTGACGCTTGCTGCATAGTGTGTCTATAAATCGCGTTTTTCATATAGGTCCCCCTTGTTTTTTTAGCAGTTTTTACCCAATTAGAGACAAGGTATACCGCAGCCGTTGAATGTGATACCACCGTTAGACTCTCCGTTTAATTCTCTATCGAACTGACGTATGATATATGACGGTTGACGTATAGTTTGTCTCTAAACAACGTTTTTCGGTAGATAAAAATTGTTTTTCGACGGAGTTTTTCGCAATTTACCGACAAACAACACGGCAGCCGTCAAATCTGTTTGCAATTAAATACTCACCGTTTGATCCTTTATCGAATGAATGTATCACATGTGACGGCTGCTGTATGGTTTGTCTCTAATTAACGTTTATAGCGTACTAAACAGCGTACTAAACAGCAAACTGTATCCAGCGTGTATATTAGTATAGTTATATTTCTAAGTTAATGCAAAACTTGTATTGAACGTGTAGTAAAGCATAGTTTTAGAAATGGGTCACAAGGGTGTATTAAATTATAAACTGTATCCAGCGTCAATAAATTGATAGTTTTATTTTGGGTTTATTAACATTACTGTAAATAACGGACAAATGCCGCATAGTTTTAAAACAGGTTAGAGGTGGTGGAGAAGAGGGTGCTGGGTCAGGGTGTTTAGCCTAATATCGAAACTGTATGCTGCATTAACCCTGACCGCACGATACAGCATTAAATATTGACAGTTCTAAATCAAGTTTAAAGCTCTGCAAAAGTGCATGTAACTACATTGAGCTGCTTTTTGCAAAAAATCCGTATGATACAACTGCAGCCGTCATATATGTTGTTAGTTGAACTATTGCCGACATAATGGAACAAAAACCAAAGTTTTAAAAACATTTGTTTTCATTTTAATGGCCTTTTTCAGGGAATTGTGTACGCAGGATCTAAAAATGACAAAATCCGACTGCGGGGTTGTGATTTGCGAGCCAAATATAACGTCAGACTGAACAGAAGTTTCAGGAATAAATAAGGTCTATGTACGCAACCTAAGGGAAAAAAAATTACGGTTAAAGCTTGTATCTATCCTAAAATACAGACTTAAACGTTTTTTGTAATCCGAATTTGCACGTTAGCTACAAAATTTCTCTTTTTTCATTATTTTCTTAATTATACACAAAATATTTAGTTTAGAAATCCGTTTTTTCAAAACACGTAACAATCAAATCAGTTTTTAACGTCAGAAAGCGTCTAGAAGTTAAATTTAGGGTCAAAACTACCCTTTTTACTCCTAACCTTGTAAAAATCAATTAAGAATAAGCCTGTTCGAAATAATTAATATTTTTTCAATCTTTTTTCATTAATCGCTAGATTAAATTAAGCAAGAAAACATATTGAAAAACCAGCAACGCCTCAACATTTTATCATCCAATAAAGCAACCTGCATTTTAAAACTATACCGCGTACGCACACTACACTAACCTTTTTTGGGTTTAAAGTCAAATTATAGACAAAGTATTAAGTAAAAATAAAAACCAAGTACACTAATCGAAAGAGCATCAAATTCTGTGTCAGAAAAAATAAACTTCATTAAAAAAAAAAGGCATCATATCAAAAAATTAAGTTAAAAAAAAGGGAAATTTGCACGCAATATACCGGAAAATGCAAACTGAAGGTTAGGTTTTACCGGGCCCCAAAACTTTTTTTTACCCTAGCAGGGTCCATTTTAAGACAATAAAGGTCACGCGATCTAACAGAAAAAAAATTAGGATTTTTAAGTTACAGGGACATATAGGTCCAACATAGTGAATTTATTGAAACTAAGTAAAAATAAGGCTTTACTTAGCACAGTATTACAGCAAGTACACCCGACCTATTACAGAAAAAAAAAGTTAACCATAACATTATGAAAAAATCAAAACTTTTTTTTGGGTTAGTGAGATATAGGGTGTAACTAATATAAAAAACAAATTTGCACCCTAGGGCGTCAATGGGTCGGCTGCCAGGACCCTTAACAGTAAATAGTACGCCAGATACAGAAATAAAATTTTAACTGTATCCAACGGACTTCTAGACACCCAAAATCCATACTTAGACATAATCGGGGGTAGGAAAAGCAGCAAAGCTTGTATTTACATAAAGAACATAAAACAATGATATATTAAATAACTTTGATGAAATATAACAATTAAATCTAATGAAGTAGCTAAAATATACAGAAAACAAATCAAATAAATCCATACAATATCTTTCTAGGGGCGTAACTGCTGTACGCGAGATACAGTAACAGGTATGACTAGAACTCCAGTTATTTTATGAATGTGAAATTTTATGCTTAACTTCGTAAAGCTATGCTAGACAAGTTGCATGATCTGAGCAGGGGTGAACCCAGAACTTTTTTGGTACCATAGGACCGTTATGGGCACCAAAGAAATGCTTCAAAATCATAATTTCTTGTTAATTTTCATTTACTTTTTTTTCAAAAGTTGTTTCAAATGTTTTCTGTATATTTTAGCTACTTCATTCAGCCAGTGATGTTTACAAATAAGGTTTGCGGCAGGGTTAGGGTTTTATAATTCGCTACATCAAAATGGTATCTTAAAAATAAACTCATTTCTGCTAAGAAAGAATAATAAAATTAAGCAGAGGTTAAAAATAATTGAATTTTAAACTATTCAAATAATTATAACAAACAATTCAAAAACTATAGTATTAAAATAACTGTAGTATACAATTATTTAAATGATTAAAAAAAACCAAAGGGAATTCACAAATGGCATCATACAGGAAGCCAAATAGTTATCTCATATAAACTCAAGATAATACAATTTATATTATCCGTTTGTTTTTGGGTAAATACACCCCAATTAGTTCTTATTGAGTGCTTACACCTATCTAAGAATGTCACGTATTATTTGAATAGCCCCTATACGCTTTTGCTATATTTTTAAATATAGCAACAACAATAAAAATAATTCAAGTCTAAATAAATGTAAGCCATGCCTCTAAAAAAAGATATTAACCATTCGGTCTCTTTGTATGTCTTAATAAAAAAAGATTTAATAATACCAACTACTTCCTTTATACAAATAGTTTTAAAATATTTGTCTCAAACTTTGCGTACGTTTTTGTTAGGTTTTGGGTAACTCATGCGCAACCTTAACTTACAGCAAATGCTGCGAAAAAGCTGTGAATACCAAATGGTTACGCAAAAAATAATTTGCCTAAGTTTTTTTAGGCAAACAGTTTAGCTAGGCAAGAGTTACGCGAAAGTTGTGAATCCACACCCAGTTAAAAGCTTTTTAATGGATCTGAATAATTTTTAAAAATCTTTTTGAAATCTGATCTGAATAGTTTTTTTTTAAAAACTTTTTAATATTGGCTCAATAAGGCGTTTATAGTTTTTATAATTAGTTTTATTACGAAGGGGGTTTTTTAAGAAATTTGTTCTATAATTTTTTTTTTTTTTTTTAAGAATATTTAAGAATACCCTTAATTATCCAAGGATTTAATTGCATTTTTGATTTAAGCAATTTTAAAACTTCAGGAAATGCCTTATTATAATATTGAATATATTGCAGGGCTTATGCGCGTTTAAAATCAGTAACAGGTTATCTTTATCATTCATTAAATTAAAATACACACCATAACTTTTAAGCGCTGATTAGCTTATTCCTAAATTCTTTAACAATAGGTTTGTAATAAATTGAATTTATTACAAACCTATTGTTAAAGAATTCTTTCTGCCTAATTCTATTTAACTTATTGAGTATTCACCATTAATTGAATAATATAATTGAATATTCACCATTCTTCCAGCCTAATTTTATTTCATTCACCATAATTGAATATTCACCATTCTTCCTGCCTAATTTTATTTCATTCACCATAATTGAATATTCACCATTCTTCCTGCCTAATTTTATTTTGACCAGTAATTTTTTTCTTACTTTACTTGTTTTTGAAGAGTAATCTTCATAGGTAGAAAAACTTCTCTTGTTTTTTGTTTTTTTTCCAATTCTATGAGTAATTTCTATTTATTTTACTTTTTTTTTCAAGTTTCAAAAAAACTTAATACTTTTTTTCGGTGTTGTCTCAATTTTCGAGTTTATTGGAATGAGTTTTGTGTTTGTACCAACGGGTACAAATACACAAAAATTTTAAAAGTAATTTAATCTAAAAAAAATTTAGAAAGTACTCTTTTTAGTCAAATATAATTGAATCCGAAATCTTTTTTTTTTTTTTTTTTTTTCTATCTTTCTTTCTCTGTTTACATAACATAAGAATTTTACAAATTCCACTACATAATATAATATTTAACAAAACAAGTAAAACAGATAGGAGCTCAAAGAAGATGAGGATGACAGAACGTCATCGCAATCTTTTCTTAGAACCCCTTTAACAAGATTTAATTAAAATATCGTAATATGACATACAAAATAAAAATTTCAATAAAATATCATAAAAAAATGCGTTATCCGCTAAATAAAATTTGTCAAGCAACAAACAAAAGCAATACTTTTCTTAATAAATTAGACGCTGTTGGAAGATCAGCATTAAAATTTCTGGATTCCTACTTTAAAATCGATGACGTATCTACCATCTTCGTTCAAAACAAATTGAATCTGTTTATCAGATTACTGAGCAATCCGACTTGTTTTTCCTTGATTTTAACTCAAATATCTAATGTTAATAAGGAAAACTGCTTTATTTACGAAATAATGAAAATTTGCAACCGCCTGGAACTAAGCTTCATGCAGTGTTTGATTAAGGGGAAAAAAGTCATTATCAAACGTCGTAACGATGACGTAGAAGATAATATAGCAGAAATTTTAAACCAGTCCTTTGATTTCCGGAACGTCAGAGAGCAGAGAATGATATTCAAAAATTTAATGGAAGAAAGCATTCCAATAAGAATCTAAATTAGAATTTTAACTTATAGTATAAACTATTAGTTTTATGACCTCTGTATTTTTTACCTGTAATTTTGGGTGATGAAAAGAATAAATAAATAAACAAAAGTAGAAACAAAACAAAAACGTATTTAAGAGAATTTATCCAATGTATTATTAACAAAAAATGTTTCACAGGTTTTAAAGATTTCTTTTTTTGTCAAAAACTTGAATGAACTTAATGAACTCACCCTACCTTTGAACCCTTTTTGAAAAATATTCCATACTTTTGGACCTCGATATAAAATACTGTATTCTGAATATTTATTTATTATTCTAGGCAGTTTTTATGTGTTCAACATATTCGCTCTATGATTATAGTTATCTTTTTTATTTAATTCAAACTTATTATTAAAGCTTATACGAGAGATATTGTGATTGTAACGATACATGAAAATTAAATGCTGGTAGATATTTTTTTCAAATACATTCATCTTTCATCAAGGGATTAGCGTGTTCCCGCCTATTTTTATAGTAAATGATTCTACAAGCATGTTTCTGAAAACTATAAAGTTTCCTAAGCTTTGCAGTTTGAGTACTTGCCTATGAAATGTTTGCATAACTGATGAGGCTGTGAATTAGCCCAAAGTAGATTAATTTAAGACTATTTGTATTGATGTACGAGCGAACTCGACACATTAAACCTATGATATTGGTAATTTTTGACTGGATATATATTATATGAGAAAGCCAGAGTAATTTTTCATCAACAACGATTCCTAAGAATCTTATATTGGATTGCTTTTTAATTAATTTATCATTTATAAATAGGTTCGGCAACTTGAGAGGAAGATTTTCTTCTTGTGTTTTTTTATGAAAAAGTATATAGTTTGTTTTCTCGGCATTAGTTTGTTAGCCTTAAACCAGTTATTTACTTTATTTAGTTCAATATTCATGTCCGCATACCATTTCTTGATATCGTTGTTGGTAAGAAATAAATTCGTGTCATCTGCAAACATGACTGAATTAAGTTTTAAGGATGCATTACAGAAGTCATTTACATATATTAAAAAAAGAAGTGGACCAAGAATCGATCCTTGCGGAACACCACATATGACATTTAACACTCCAGATTGGGCATTACTTGCATATTGTTTTCTGTTTGTCAGATAGCTTTTAGTCCAATAATAAGTTTTATTAATTATTCCGTAATGTCTTAATTTATCTAAGAGAATACAGTGGTCCACTGTATCAAATACTTTTGATAAATCAAGAAATACTCCTAAAGTAAATTTATTATTTTCAAAACCATTAGTTATTTGATTTACTATTTTAATGATTGCATGCTAAGTAGAGAGATTTTTTTGAAAATCAAACTGATTTGGGTAAAAAAGTTGTTTTTAATGAAGTAATCATAGATTCTATTATAAACTACACGTTCGAATAGTTTTGAAAATACAGAAAGTACTGATATAGGCCTGTAGTTTGTAATGTCAGAATGATCATTACATTTGTACAATGGAGTTACTTTTGCTAATTTAAGTACATCCGGAAATATCCCAGAATTTAACGAAAGCTTTAGTATATGTATTAGAGGTCTTTTAAGACTATGTTTGTTTGCAATAACTATATTACTATATATCTCATCAAATCCTGGAGCCTTTTTTTTTTTTAACGAGGAAAAAGCTGCTTCAAATTCCTCATAGGTTAATTCATAATCAAGCATGATAACATTGTTCGTTGGTTTAAGGAAGGTTTTAAATGATACAGATGTTGGTACTATTTGTTTTACAAGATTTGGACCAATACTGGTAAAATATTTATTGAGTTCTTCCAAAATTTGTTTTTGACTATTTAGTAGTCAAAAACAAATTTTGGAAGAACTCAATAAATATCGTTGTTTTCAATAACAATTACTAACTTTATAAATATATTTATACACAATAAATAAAAAAATAAATAAATAAAAAAAAAGAATTTCATAATTAGTCTATATAAATATATATATATATATATATATATATATATATATATATATATATATATATATATATATATATATATATATATATATATATATATATATATATATATATATACTATATATATATATATATATATATATATATATATATATATATATATATATATATATATATATATATATATATATATATATATATATATATATATATATATATATATATATATAATTAAATTTTATTGCTTTTTAAAAAAACCGCAATATTAATGACTAGAAAGTTTTTTTTTTAATTAATGGTGTTTTTGTTATTGTTTTATTAAAATATATTTTGAAAACATGCGTGGAGTGTTGCAACATCGACTTCCTTATAGCCTGCTACAAGGAAGTGTTGCTATATTGACTGATAAAGAGCCTGACTCTCAAGGGAGTGCTGCTACATCGACTGAAAAATAACTTGACTCGCAAGGGAGTGCTGCTACATCGACTGAAAAATAGCCTGACTCACAAGGGAGTGCTGCTACATCGACTGAGGGATTGGTTTATTCAGGCAGCCTATCATATATATATATATATATATATATATATATATATATATATATATATATATATATATATATATATATATATATATATATAATAATAATAATAATAATCTTTTTTTTAAGAACTAACCACCCTTAACATTATTTGCACAATCCTTTTCAATCAACGCTATGAACAAGACGATGATGAATTTCAAAATATCATAAAGTATTCAAATTTGTCATTTAAAGCATTTAGTGCAAGCAATCTTCTAAGTTCTATTCCGTGGTTACGCTATTTTCCAACAACTGCATCAAAGTATATTCAAGAGATTGAAAGACTTCGGGATCCAATTTTAAAACGAAAACTTCAAGAGCACAGAAAATCATATGACGAGAATAACTTACGTGATATAACAGATGCTTTAATTAAAGCTTCTATTCATTTAAATGCAGAGAAAGATTCTCTCATAAAGGTTACTGATGACAACATTCAGTTTATTTTAAACGATTTAATACTCGCTGGATCAGAAACGTCATCGAGCACAATTACTTGGTTTATTGTTTATATGCTACATTATCCTGAATACCAAGATAAGATATTTAATGAAGTTATAAAAGTAACGTCAGGTAACCGCTATCCATGCTTAAACGATCGTCCTTTGCTTCATTTATTGCAAGCTACTATTCATGAAACATTGAGATTGTCGTCTGTAGCTCCTTTAGGTTTGCGTCATAAAGCTATGGAAAACAGTACAATTTGTGACAAACCTGTTTTAAAAGGCACACTTATTATAACTAATTTATGGAGCATTCACCATGATGAAAGATACTGGAAAAATCCCATGAGTTTTTATCCCGAGCGCTGGTTAAATGAAACTGGTGAGTTTGACTACAAGTTAGGTAACGCTTATATTCCCTTTTCAGGCGGACCACGTGCTTGTTTAGGAGAAACCTTGGCAAAAACCGAATTATTTGTCATTATTTCGCGTTTAGTAACAGATTTTTATTTTGAGAAATCTGTTGAAGAAGACTTACCACGCTTAGACAGTTTTCCTGGTGTCACCCGTTCTCCCTATGACTTCAAAGTTGTGGTCGTTTCAAGAAGTTAAACTTTGAGTATTTTTTTTAAATCCATGGTCAAACTGAAAACTTATCTTTTATTTTTAACTACTTATAAATATAATGTATTTGAATTTTAAGAGATAATGGCAATTAGCAATTAAATATTACCTACATTTTAACGTAAAACGCAATTATTATTTAAAGGTTACAGAACAGGATGAGCTATTTCAGCATTCATGTTTATACGTAAAAGAACTATTATTTCTATAAATAAACGATATAATTTGTATAACGCGGGTTATAATTTTATTATATTTTATCTTTGTTTTTTTTGTTTTTTTTTGTGGATAACTTTAGATGAATTTAATTTATCTTGCTTTAATAAACTATCGCAGTCTCGCGAAACTATGGAAACTATGGAACAATGGTCGTTAAAAAAAACCTTTTCATTAAAAAAAAAGACTATATGCAACGCCAAACTCAATACTAATAGAATTTGTTTATTTTATGAATATTAACCGTCACTGAGTGGGAATAACTAGTTCTGGCGTCGTTTTTAAAGATATCGTATCATTTAACCACATGTATGTCAATTATTACTATCTAGTAAATAGATAACAATCATAAACATTGTATCTATTGAATAGATAATAGTAATAAATATTGTATTCTATGAATAAATAATAATGATAAAAATAATGATAAAAAATATTGATAATAACAAATATTTAAAATTCATGAGAAAAATATCGAAAAAGTTTTCTCTTGTCAAATTGTGCCGACAATGTCGGAATAGAAGTTTGGTAAGAGAGCCCACCTTTTAATTGGTTAGTATGAAAATCTAGTTCATAGCAACAACAGAGTAACAACTGTTACTCAAAAAAAATTACTCAAAGCAAACAAATTATGTAAAACATTTATAAAAGAGCTTATAAAAACTGTGTTTTGTAAGTGTATCCAGCAGTGTGTTCTTTTTTTAATGTTAAAATATAAAGAATAAGAAATAAAGTATAAAGAACACAGGTACTTCAAAAAAACCATCAAGTCTTTTCACAAAGAACCGTTTAGTACATATACGTTAAGAACTTTCTTGTCTTTAAATAACATTTTGGTATGTACAAAACAAATTTAAAAACTTATTAAGCGAATGGCGTGTTTCTGCCGACGATAAAAAAAAGTCACAATTTACTTGTTAATACCTCCTCAAGCAATATTTGCATAGTTAAATCAACTAAGCAAATATTGCTTGAGGGAACACTAACTAAAGTAAATTGTACAAATATAACTATAAGTGAGTAGTAAATTTGCATAAAGGTTTTTTTAGTTTAGAGAATTTCTAATTTTGGACTTTTAGCAATTTTAGAGCTGATATAGTTGATATGTGGTTCCCATGTAACATTATTATTTAAATAAACTCCTGAAAACTTTGTGGACTATTCTTTTTAATTGCAGCCTTTTTTTAACAAGTAATTTAGGTGAGATTTTTTGTTACTAAGTATTTTATTGATAAGCATTGAAACAGAATATACCTTGTTTTGTCAACTTTCACAGTTAATTTATTACATTTAAACCATCTTGATATGAGTTTAAGTTCTTTCTTAATATTGGAAAATAGCTCATCAATGTTAGCATTTGCTAAGATAAAAAAGTTGTATCAAAGTACTACTTAGTTCCTATGCTTAGTTAAGGTTATTTATATAGATTAAAAATAAAAGAGGTCTAAAAGCTTGTTTAGACCTCTTTTAGCTTGTTTGTCTGAAAGTTTGGTCTAAAAAAGAGGTCTAAAAGTTTGGTGTTTTACCTTGTAGAACACCGCATATTATTTCAGTCATTTCATTACAGCATCTTTTATTGTACGGAACGAGTTGCTTCCGTTTTGTTAAGTAACTTTGATACCATTTAAACAGATTATTTTTTATACCGTAGTATTTAGGTTTTTAAAGCAAAATATTATGATTTACGGTATCAAAAGCCTAAGAAAGGTCACAACAAATACAACCAATGAAATAAAGATGGTGTTTTACTAAAATAATATGGTACAATAAATGAAAGAAAGAAATAAAAATTGATGAAATTGACTTAAAGCAAATTAAAAAAGCTAGAACTTTTTTATTTTTAAATTAAATATTTTTATTTTTTTTTAATTTTATTTTATTCAAATTAGAACGTTTTGTCAAGACAAAACTATAAAGAGGGTAGGGGAGGGGGGAGTAGATATTACTTGTATCATTTAAGTTTTATTGCGCTATTTGACTTTTTATTGTCTTGTGTTTGTTTAACTTCGCAAGAGACTAATAAGATGTTGCTTTAAGGCGTATAGTAAGTAGTGCCGGCTTATGGAATTATGGGCCCTGGGATTTTTAAATTTAATTTTAAGTAAATTTCGGACCCCTTTAAACAAAGCGTATCTGAAAACCCTAGTACTAACTGAACTTTGAAAATAAAAGTCTTAATCAAAATTATATTGTCTAGAATAAAAACACAAGTTTGAACAATTAAGAAATTCTGAAATTGGCAAATGAGCAAGTACAAGAATAAAAATACAAGTTTAAATAATTAAGAAATTATTCGTTTCTTTCTCATTTTTGAATATGCAAACTGATTGATGATGCTTCATGTAGCCAACTCATCAAATACGTTGTTTTCAATTGCAAGAATGGCTAAATTTTGCAGTCTCTCTTGCTGCATTGAACTTCTTAAATAAATTTTTACTCTTTTCAACACAGAAAAGTTTCTTTCACCTGAACAATTTGAAACCATCATCGATAAATATATTTGGAGGACAGTTTCCAAATTGGGAAAAACTGATTGTAAATTTAACTTTTCAATAAATTTAAACATCTGTAATTTAATTGACATATCTTTCATTAAGTCTGGAGCATTTAAAAAAAAAATGTTTAAAATGTAATAATTCGTCAGCCAAATCCATATTAATATGATCTTTGTATACAACTTGCAAGTCATTAGCAGCTGTTGAAATTTCCTGAACTGTCAAATTATTCAATTTATTTAAGACGCCGAATAAACAACCTAGTTCAGTATAATCATTTTGCCTATTTGTTAGTTGTGCTTTTAATTCATCAACACATACAAGAAATTTGTTTTATATGATTTCCACGAAATTCATCATACTGAGATACCAATACTAAACATCCAAGATAATTACCATTTTCAGTAGAACCAAACCTCTCTACAGAACCCTTTAAACGAAGCCCTCTAGATGTTACAAATTTTATCACATCAACTATCCTAAAGAGCTTTTTTTTCCAATACATTATTTCATCATTCAGTACAGATAAAAATAAAGGTTCAATTTTTTTCTGAGTTTCTAAAAGTGCTATCATAGTTTCATTATGCTGTTTTGAATTTGTGACGGCAGAAATCACGCTCTGCATGTTTCCAATCTGTATAGCCAGACAAAAAACTGTTTGATTGTTCTTCTACGCCAAGTACCACACAAAGGATGCAATATACTTATTTTTTCACTGGGGAATAACACATCTATTTTCATAGAACCTTTTGTTTACTTTCTTTAATAAGGTAAAATGTTGATGATTGAAAACATCTTATTTGCTTTCCAACAGTTTGTGCAAAATCACAATTTTTATGTCGGAAGATTTCTGTGCCATTGTCAATTATATATCTTTCCTTGATTTCCTGATCATTATTCCAAGCACCAAAATCAAAGAAAATAATATCAGTTAAATCACGAGTATCACGAGTATCCATATGATTACTTTTGTTAAATTCATTTTCAACTACCATATCAACACACAAATCATTAGTAGGTAACTAAAATGATTTGCTAAAATTATCACCGACAGCCCCACCAGCCCGATAGAATGATGGCACTAATGATGTATCTAGTTGGGTAGCTGACGTTGAAAACAAAGTAAAATATTAAAAAGTGGCACATTTGATTTTTTTTAAAAGGCCCCGAGAGCCCTACGGAAGCTCAGGGCCTTGGGACTTTAGTCTCTTAAGTCCCCGCGTGAAGTCAGCACTGATAGTAAGAGGTAAGATAGTAAGAGTTTCGAAGGAGAAGTTTAGGTATTAGGAAAGCATAGGCAAAGGTAAGCAGAGTAAAAACCATATCTTTTTTAAGGTATAACATATGTATTATTTAAAAATACAATTTAAATTACATGTAGCGTATAAGTGAAATGTTTTCGTGTTATATTTCCGTCGTTTATGTGGTTCGTGGATACTCTCATCGGTTTGTATGGTAAAATGCGGTGAAGGTAGGCGTTGCTTTCAATGATATTCCAGTGTTTCATAACAATGTCTTGTATTTGTCATCCTGTGGAGTCAAAGGGTCAAAACAACATTTTGACAAAACGTTTTGATTTGGTCAAATGAAATCCAGATTTTAGACGTCTATTATAGCATTATTATGTGTATATAAAGCGTTTAGATTTTCTCCAATTTAAGTTTAAATCTATAGTCTAGTATAATTAACTTATATAAAGCATTTAGCCTGAGTAAATGTAGTAAATGTAACTTTTAGATCTTGTTTAATAATTTCTTTGATTTAATTAACGTAGTTTCAATTTATTTAAGTTTTAAAACTAATATAAGTTAAAATTACAATATAACATTTTTTAAGTTTATTTAAGTAATTAGGGCGATAGAGGTCTTGAAATTTATAAACAAGGTATAGTTATAAAAGTAATTAAGTTTATAAATAAAATATAGTTACAAAAGATCTGTTTTTTTTTTTAATATTTTTTATAACTATTATAAGTATTTCGATGTGATCGTAATGGAAATGGTGGTGGCTCACTCATATAAGTGCGAAGGAACATCCATTCTGTACAAATTAAGTTTGATGTTCCTGAAGAACTTGTAGATACTGAAATTTATTTGTGTAGACATATGTGTCTCCTCTAGTCTCAAAAAGTTACGCATTTCATGCATTTACCACCCCCACCCCATTTGCAGCCTCATGTTTTTTGAAAACCAAAGCCTTATGTAAAATGCTACGTAAAATTTCATTATCTTGTAATCATAATTGTATAGTATCAGGCGATTTTAACTTACCATTTATCGATTGGTCAATACCTATTAGCCTAGGTGGTTCTTGCCACGACTTGTTCATAGAAACTTGTAAGATGAACGTGCTAACCCAGCTGTATCAAACAATACCCGAATAAATAACATTTTGGATCTTATATTAACTAATATTACAAATGAAAAAATCAATGTATACAATGAAGTACTTACAGCTCTTTCACCAGTACCTGCGACCATTGTACCATTTTCTTTAATTGAAATATAGGAACCTTAATTAGCAATAAAAATCCATCATTTTCAATTTCATATAATTT